AAACATAATTAACGTGTATTTGCATTGTTTGACTCAACCAAAGGGCACATCGTTTCTAATTTGGGACATCGGAGGTCAGGACAAACTGCGGCCGCTGTGGCGGTCGTACACGCGCTGTACGGATGGCATAATCTTTGTGATCGATAGCCAGGACGAGGAGCGTCTGGAGGACGCGAAGATGGAGCTGATGCGGACGGCGCGGGCGCCGGAGAACTCACGGGTGCCGATACTGGTGTTGGCCAACAAACAAGATCTTCCCGGCGCGCGAGACGCCAACGAATTGACCCGACTGTTGGGTCTTCAGGACCTGTCGGGCAAACACTTACTGCGAGTGCAGTCCTCGTGTTCGGTGATCGGCGAAGGGCTCGATGAGGGACTCATCACTCTCTACGATATGATCGCCGAACAGAAGAAACTGAACAAAGTGTCCAAAATTAAGAGATAATATAATAACTATTAGCCGAAGATTATGTTTGTTTTGTTCCTTCCGTAACGACGGCCGCCGAAGATGTCGACGATATTAACGATAATTATATTTATTATTAATTAATGAATTGAAATGAATTGCAATTTTCTTCTTCTCTTCTTTTTTCATAATTTCATAAATTTTTCTATAATTTATAAAAAGACGACAAAATTGTGGAATCGATTTGATTTCGATTTACAAATTGATTTGATATCTAATGAAAAGCAATGTTTTAATGTTTTTTTAAGAAATACTTTTTAATCTCAGATTTCGTGGATTTTTATTTCAGATTTTTATGATTACTATTATTATTATAAATCGGATTCTGATCTCAAATACGATATCAATCTATATATTAAGTGTAATATTGAGAGAACTATCGATCTATTTGTTTAGACAATCGCTTTAATAATTTTTAAAAACATCAAAACATATGAAATGAATATTGTTTTTCATTTTTTAAATAATGATTGAAACGCCGAGAGATATGTTATTAACTATTTGTATATAAAAATATATTATAATTCATAATAAAAGACTATAACATTCTTTCCATATTATAAATGCAATTTTGTTTTTAATTTCGTTTAAAACGGTATTAAATCATATTTTAAATTATGCGATAAAACAATTGCAATACAAATATTAATACAACAGTTATTTATATTGCAATTTATAGCCTAATTAAGACATTGATTAGATAAATATCTAAATGATTTCCCACTATATCTACCAAATATGCCGACAATCGGTTCGCTCTCATAAGAAAATGGACACAAAAATATTGATATTTATAGCTTTAGTAATAGTAATGATAGGATATATTGATAGGATTCACAGGAATGGCACACCATTTATGACCTGATTTTAGATTTTAGTTGAATATAATCTTGTTTTTTGAATGAATTTATAAGAGAAATAAAATATAAGCCACTATTAATTGTATTGAGTGTATCTCTCGTGTGATAATAACTGTTCACAAATGTCACACATTTGTTATATACGGCTATCAAAGCGCAACCAAATTAGTTGATGATTGTCTCAAAACTTATATGTTATTAACTATTTGTATATAAAAATATATTATAATTCATAATAAAAGACTATAACATTCTTTCCATATTATAAATGCAATTTTGTTTTTAATTTCGTTTAAAACGGTATTAAATCATATTTTTAAATTATGTGATAAAACAATTGCAATACAAATATTAATACAACAGTTATTTATATTGCAATTTATAGCCTAATTAAGACATTGATTAGATAAATATCTAAATAATTTCCCACTATATCTACCAAATATGCCGACAATCGGTTCGCTCTCATAAGAAAATGGACACAAAAATATTGATATTTATAGCTTTAGTAATAGTAATAGTAATGATAGGATATATTGATAGGATTCACAGGGAATGGCACACCATTTATGACCTGATTTTAGATTTTAGTTGAATATAATCTTGTTTTTTGAATGAATTTCTAAGAGAAATATAATATAAGCCACTATTAATTGTATTGAGTGTATCTCTCGTGTGATAATAACTGTTCACAAATGTCACACATTTGTTATATACGGCTATCAAAGCGCAACCAAATTAGTTGATGATTGTCTCAAAACTTGTATTGATATAACCGTTAAGACAGAGCTTTTTCTATCCATTTTAGGATACTATGAATGAATAAATACAATATAAAGTGTGAATTCAATCAATATTTGCACAAAAGGTTGTGCCCATTGATTGAGCGCTCATTTGTAATTCAATATTAATGGTATTCAATGAAACGGATTATATTAGTGGATGAATAGGTGGTGTAGTCGTGTAGTCGTCAACACAAATGAATGGCAAAAACCATTTTTGGTATAAAATTGATTCATAAAAAACAAAAATCGCACGAAAAAAATGATTGAAAAACTTGTTTCAAAACTTCAATTCAAATCCAAACTTTTTTATATGGGTTTGGGTTTGATATATGAGGCGAGAGGGAGAGAGACTGTGCGAACACATTTGCCATTGGTTTAACATTAGGAGTATAAAAGCTTGCGTTCAGTTGGGCTAAAAAGTTATTCACAACTCAATTGTGGGACTATTTGTTACAATCAGTCAAACAAAAGAGTTTTAAATTATAAACTAATTTATAAATTCATAAATTTCATCGATTTCTTGCTGTCAATTGCCCTTCAATTCAATCAATCTTAAGGTATGTTTCAATTTTAATTTCATTGATTTTATACTTTTCATTCTCATTGCTATAGAAATGAATAGACATTTTCTCATTTCACATATCCTTCAGTTGACATTAGATTCTTGAGGTCTAACTCTTTTCGGCTTTAATTCATATTAATTTTGTTTATTCAATGATATTATAAGTAAATTTCGATGAAATTCAATGATTACGGCAATTGCTGTCCACGAAATCTCGGCAAATGTTAACCATTTGTTTAATTAGCAAACATAGCAAATGGTATCCATAGTTAATATTGAACACCAAATAAGGTCTCAAAGTATCCATACATTGATCGCCCAAAACGAGTGATGCGTTCAATGACTTGATATGCGATGCGATAACCGGTTTAAAAATTTTGTTATTTGAGTTTTTGGCATAACTTTACAGTTGTGTTCATTCAGTCATGTCTTCTTGGCATCCGATCTCGTCTCGTCTCTCTTCTGACCCTTTAAGACAGGCATTTCAGGTTCACAGCATCTCTCCCTCTAAAGTCTCTCTCTCTCTCTCTCTCGCCTCATATATCAAACCCAAACCCATATAAAAAAGTTTGGATTTGAATTGAAGTTTTGAAACAAGTTTTTCAATCAT